AAAACCCTAGAGGGATAAGGAAAGAAAAGGGCAAAATGTTCTTTGCACTAGGCTGTATCATCCGTGAGTGTAGAGAAGGCAGTTTTAGAGGGGCAATGAGAACAAAACCCTGTTGCAGTGGATAGAGGAATGAATGGGCATAGAGTAGGTGAGGACAGAGAAAGGTACCCTAATTCTACAGAAGTTTGTTTCAGAAAGGAAAGAAGAAATAAAGAGCCAAGTCTGTGTGTTTCTGAAATTCATCTTCCTACCTGCTTGTAAATTTGGAGTATTTAATAAGTACTTCGCAGCAAATGGATTCTCAGTAAGAGGTTCATGATATCACCCATGTATTTCAGGTAAAGGAAAGGCTGACCTAGAGAAAAGTGAATTTCATGAACGAGTTCATGTATTATGTAAAAGCAAAGATCCAGATTGCAGTCTACTCATAGAATTGAAATGTGTTTTGCAGCGTCTTGCTTTTGCTCTGTGCAGAAAACGAAGCTGTATTTCCCTGTTCCGGTTCACTTACATCTCATGCGATTGTGTCACCTTGTCTTTCTCCATTTAAAAATAAAAGGCAAACTCAGCAGTTCCTTTTTCTTAAAACGCTTTAGTAACCAGCAGTTGCCACATTAAAAGCTTTAGCTGGAAGATTATAAAAATAATCTAATGCTTCTTAGCAGGTAACTACTTTTGAACCAATTCTCCTTTCAGGGCCGCAGTGAGGTCAAATCAAATGGCCAACGAAGGACGGGCTGAGCGAGAAGTGAAAGCTGGTTGACATTCAAAGGGCAAAAGTACATTGTGTTTGGAATGTTTTGTGTAAATGTTAAACAGCGCCCTCATTTAACCACCTGCTTCTTGTTTAGAAGAGATCAAATGAACAATTTCAAGCACAACTGAGTAACACTCAAAAGAAAATCAAGTGTAATTTCCTAAGTTGCTGAAGCAAGGGTTCTTTTATGAAATCACCATTAGTATTTCTAAACAGAATTTGATTATATTTGAAATTTACTGCACACAGTTGAGTGTCACCTGGAAATTTCTTCATGCGGAGATGAAATTATGAGGTAGACCTTTTTAAATGATTTCTTTGTCCGTGCATGTGTGTGTTTTAAAAGTCCCTGGGTCATAGCTTTAATAATCTTTTATTTCTTTTTTCTCTTTCTTGTGAATATATTTTGCTTTGCTTTTGAGACACACTAAAAAAGGGGTTTTGATTGGGTTTATAACTACCCCTAAGGTTTACTACCTTTTAGAGGAGAGGGTGGAGGGTAATGAGTTCCACAGTGTATTTCTCACTGTGCAAAAGAATATGTTATTCCTAATGTTTTAAAACTATATCTTAAAAAAAAAAAGACAAACAATTGAAGAAACAAAAACTCAGAGACATAGACAATAGTTTAGTGGTTACCAGAGTGTAAGGGGGGAGGGAAGATAGTAGAAGAAGAAAAAGGGATCAAATATACGGTGATAGAAGGAGAACTGACTCTGGGTGGTGAACACACAATGTGAAATATAGATGATGTGTTACAGAATTGTACACCTGAAATCTATGTAACTTTACTAGCAATTGTCACCCCAATAACATTTAAAAAAAAACTATATCTTTAAACTTAAGTAAAATTATCACTAATTCTAGTGCTCAAGGATTTAGTCACCATGATACCCAGTAGTCTGAATAAATGCTTGAATAAGTGCAAAGAGTGGTTACTCTATGGGAAAAAAAAAATTAAGACTGCTGTCCTAAGTGTTGTGTACAGAAGCAAATGTCTCTTCCAGGAAGGAGGGAAGCAAAATTCCATTGCCCACTGAAGTCAGCATTTAAATGTCCAAAACCCCTTCCATACACTGCATACAAATATAAATATAAATTTAAAATAATAGAATATAATTGTATAGGAACCAAAATATGACATATTTTCTTTTTATTTAAAATAGAGCTCTGTATGCTTCACAGAAACAAGTGCAAGGAGTGATTAATTTATTATCTTTGCCACTTTACAAAACAATACATTTTCAGAAAATGCATACATAAAAATATCACATTTAAGCAGATAAGTATTTACATCTGGAGGCAGCTGAAAGTTATCCTATATTATAAAAGCTTTAAAATAAATACTTTTTTAACTTGCTGTTGGTAAAGTTAAACATTTTGGTATGAAGGTTATCACTGAGTTCTTACTAACTTTAAAATACTATTATTTCTAAACAAAATAAGTATATATATTACTAAAAAATTCACATTTCCACAGACTAGAAATTAATGAAATATCTGAATATCATTCATGTCTTTTTGAAATTTGGAATTCTCTTCTGCTTCAACAATTAAATTGCAACTACTAAAATTGCCATCTGCATATTTTTGATACAATTTATTACCCAATTCTCATTTTCAAATGTAATTTATTTCTTCATATTCCTTACATACATTCATTTGGGCCTGTCTGTTGAAAGGTGACACCTTTTTACATACTTAGGAATATCAGCTTGCTTACAATAAGTCTTTACAATAGTGATTCTTTTCACAGTAGTTCAAGAGTTCAAGGCATGTTTTGCAATGTCAAAATGCAACGGTTTTGACATTTGTAATATGTTCTTAGGTATAAGAAAAGTCACACTACCAAAAGAAAAGTATAATTAGTATTAACACTTTGAAAGTCAATCTAAAATTCCTTTTTTTGAGATCTGAATCTAATTTTCTGTTTTTAGGATATTTTAAAACCTGGAACACAGGTTAAACTTGAATAATTTGCTCCAGTCTAGGATCAGAGGAGTATAAGAGCTTGACACTAGTCATTGTGAAATGAACTAGAATTTAATATTTTGGCTAAATACCCTCACTTAAAGAGAAAAAAAGAGTTGGGGTTTTAAAAATAGTTCATTACTTGCATTTAGCCAATTGGAGGAAATGGAGACATTGGAAATCTCATTCTATATGTGCATTAGGCAGAATTCAGGCATGTACTCACCTCTTTACAGGCAAAGTCAATGAATATATTTGCACATGGAATGAAAACTCAACAGAGATACCAAAATGAGAGTTCACATGTTTTGGTGCAAACTGTCTTAGTTGAAAATTTTAATCAACAGGGTACACATATATAATACCTTTTGTTCTCTTGGGAATGCTAAGATGAACAGATAACATATTTGTTTTTCTAAGTTGTCTATTCAATTTACAGATGTCAAGAACCATTTCGAAATTTTAATTCTCATTTCTTGAAAACATAAGCAGGGCCCTTTTCTGAAGATATATAAGCACATAAGTTACTTTTTTGCAAAATATAAAAATATTTCTGAGTTGAGAAGCCAGTTGCAGGTTGGATTTCAGACCCTCCCCGTCCCTCAGCTGAGAGTACCTGTGAAGAACACACATGCCCAGCTGGACCTGGTGACACTCGGTATAAGGCCAATTTCCTAATGCATTCAGATTCTTAGTGGCTATGTTAACATTAAGGTTCCTGTAGCCCACAGTAAACATCTTATGTTAAAACTGTTGGATCTGGAGAGAAAAACTTCTTGTAGGATAATGTTTACCAATAATAAGGAAGTATAGTCATATCTGAAAATATTAAAATCAATAGGATGAGAGAGAGCTCATCATAGTCACCCACATGTACTAAATCTACAACTGAATTAAGAAGAATCCTCCTGGCAGTTCTTACTAGAAGGATATTAAAATCAGATTATTACCTAATTTCAACATAATATTATATTCAAACCATGTGGCATAAGGGCTTAACTTTAAAAGATGGCCACAGCAAAACAAAGCAATAGTATGACACATAGCAGAAATAAATTTAGTAATCACATTATGGGACATATACTTCACATTCTTTGTACAAGTCACCATCTCTTAAGTGGAATTTAGCATTAAGGCAAACGTAGACATTCCTCACATGTTAGCTGAAAGCTAGAATATAACTAGACTGCTAGTCTTTTTAAACTTTAAAAGAAAGTCTTCTTTGCCATTAACAAATACCCTCATCATTGTGCCAAAGGAAAAATTACTGGACAAGGCATGAGATGAAACCTCTCATAGATGGGCATGGGAAACTAAAATCTTAAGTTCAGTGTGTAGCCATTTGACAGGGGCCAGAACACTAGAAGAGGAATTACAGAGTGAATACAATTGATGAAATCCAGAAAAGATTTATTTTAATGTACTAAAAACAAATGAATGCCAAAGATAAACTAATGAGAAGCTAAGAAAAGAGAGAAGGAATATACTAGACATGGTCCCAGATTCAACTACCATTTCATCTTTCACTCCCATTCCAATGCATAAAGAGAAAAAACAATCCTTACACAAAGGAGGGGAAAAAAGAGTTATGAAGCATCTCTTAGCATTACTTGCACTAAGGAAGTCCATGTTCTCACAATGTCTAAATTTTATTCAGCACTCCAGTGGTTGCCTACCTAGCTATTTAAAGCTTTTCCTTAGTCTATTTTAGGTTTTTTTTTTTTTTTCACTGACCTCACCATGACTGTAGCAGAAATAAAAAGAGTGGGATTTGATCATCATCATCAAATGGCACATTATGTAGTGTACATTCAAGGTAGGTTTAGAATCATGCTAATTGTTTTTTAATTAGTAAATGTTGAATACGGTAGGGCACAATGGTGGGTGTCCCCACTGGGTTGTCATATCAGTTCTGCTAATAACTACCAAACATTTATTCTCTGATCCTTGTTTTTTTATGCTTAAAGTATCATATTGAATTATAAAATTTCTTACATCCTTTACAATTCCCAGATTCTGGTTTTTGTTTTTGTTTGTGGCACATCTGAAATGATTTAGACCACCAAGGCATGCTCCTGCATTAGAAGGCTAAGTGCTAGAATAATTAAGTTAAACAATTGTTAGTTTTTCTTTGTTTTTTTGTTTTGTTTTGTTGGTTTTTTTTAATTAGGGACTAAAAATAATTTTGGAAGATGGTGAGAGAAAAGGAGGTGAGAAAAATAATGAAAAGTAAAAGAAAAACTAGAGGGAAAGGAAGTCAAATATCCAAAAATTTACATTGAAATGTTTTGAAAAACTGCCTATATTATAAAAATTCTAAATGTTAATACTTAAAAAAAAATTTTGTAACCCAAATAACTTGTTTTTCTGTTTAGAAGAAGCCCTCAGGAGCCAAAGGATTACTGTCTTCACTAAATAGTGCATAAGGTCCATGTGGGTATTAGTTTATGGAGGGAGCTAATACAAAGCATTGTCAAACATAGAAGTAGTACGTTTCACAAAGAAAAGATATTTAGAATATCTTTAAAAACCAACAACGACTCCATTTTAAGATCCTAATTCTCAAACATTTCCAAGTAACTTAAAATGCTGTATTTGTAAATTTATTTAAACGAATGGTTATTGAAGACATCAACTGCCATCAGCTGTACTGATTTGCTACTGTTACTTTCTTAATTTCATAATGAGAAATAAAATATCCATACTTTAAATAAATCTATTTAAACTAAATACATTTCCATATTTATTTTAAATAATTAATCAAAAACTATTCCCTGCCAAGCAATTTTACATTGAACTTTGTATAATGGCAAACCTGGGCTCCCTGCTTTCCAACGCTTTGCTAGCAGGTGTCCTGGTCCTTTTGCGTAAACTCTAAGATAGCCCTGAGATTTCTCTGTCCAGTAAGTCACATGGTGGCAACATCCCAGCATAGTAGAAGAGGTTCACTTTTGTTTTGTTTAATAATTCCACTAAAGTAGAAGTATTAAAAAATAATAAATTATTATGGAACTTGTAACCTAATAAATCTATTGTAGATTTTCGTTTCCAAATTAAAGCTGATTTTGACATCTTCAGACACTGCAATCAGGTTACTATTTTCATACAATCATAGAAACTTAAAATGCAAAGTTAATTGAAAGTGTAAAGATGAAAGCAAGTGCTACGCCTAAAATAGTGCACCACGCAGTCATGTTTCACTTCACTTTCAAGTTAGAACATAAATTAAGAACTCTAGAAGTAACATGGCAAATATTTTAGGCACAGGAGAAAGCACACAACAGAATCTGTACCAATTACACATTTAAACACATAACTTATAAAGCAACAGTTCATGCTTAAATATTGACAACAAATAATGTTTCCCTTATTTTAAGGAAGTGATACTGAATACACGTATTCCATCACTACTTTATACAGTACTGATATTTCTTAAATAGCATTTTCCCAAGTTTTATATTACATATCCAAAGCCAAAGTATTTGAGAGAAGCAAAGGACACTCATACTTTGAGCTTACGAAGAATATTTTTTGTTTTCAACACAATTCAATAGAAATATTACACAATAAGACTCCATCAAAAACAAATAATATAAAGTTTAACAGCATAGGTATATACAGTAAATTTGCCTTAATTCTCTAAACTTTATCCTATATTTGTAAGTGAGCATTGACTTTTTATAATCATGTTGAGAATTCAGAAAAAAAGTAGAACTTTTAACTTTTTGTAATCATTTTTGTTAATCTATTCCCTTTCTTAAAAAATGTACTTGGTAATTGAAATATAAGACTATTCAGTTAGGAATTATAGTTAACCAACACAAAACAAGAAAAATATCTCCAAATGTACAGATTTCTCTAGAGTGAAAATTGAACCAATAAAAATAGAAAACTATATTTGGACATGCTCTAAATTATAAATCATATTGACAAGGAAAGTGATGTTAAAACATCCTCTCTTAAAAATTAAATAAGTATATTCACCCAAAATAAGTGAATAAACAGGAAATATTATTCTTGTTTATTTGAATCTATAGCACAACCATAGTAAATAAATAATTTCATTCTCATATATACAGAAACAATCTTTGAGAAGCCAAGGTAATAAGCACAAGCAAGATTAGCTCCTTCATTAACTCTTTTAAAAATCCTTCACATATGCACTTTTTAAAACTGATTATATAATTTAGATTATCTGGACTAGCCAAATAAAGATGCTTTCTAAATGTGTTGCAAATTGAAAGTAATTTTTGAAACCCACTGTCATATAGAATGCAAAACATCCTACTTTGTATTATTTGTCAATTTACTCTCTTCCCCCCACACACCCACGTTCCCATTCCCAAATCAGACTTTAAAATTCATGAGGGCAGAGCCTATCCATCTTTTAATTTCCCTATTGGGCCCAATATTGTGGCAAGGAATATATGGGATGACCCATATTATTTAAGGAATGGATAACTTCATGAATGAGAGTAAAAGTATATGCAAACCACAGCTGTCATATTTTTTTGCCTTTGATATTTCATTCTAGTCAAATGAGAATGGGTATAGTAACAGAATTCCACAGCAAAATGAAGTATAAGCACTAATTGTGCTCTACATGAAAATACATAGGTATATACTTCAGAACATTGTTACCTAAGTTGTGCATTGCAGAACCTTTTGGGATAGTAGAAGGTTTCCCTTGCTCTTAATAAAAGGGTTCCATGGTCAAATAATTTGGGAAATTGAACCTAAAGAAATTCATATAACATTTTTTTTGGAAATTTATTTAAAACTGTAATGCATATGCCAAGTTCTGCTATAATGTGTTAAAATTGCTTCAGTGTAATGTCTGTGATCCATCCATATCTAATTTATACATATGAAATGTGACATTATTATAAAGGTCATGTAATATTTCTTTACTGCTAGACTCCTCAGAGAACATGACACACTAATGTGCAGTATCACCTCAGAATCTATCAAAGAACACTTTTGGTCTTGGATCATCTCAAAAGAGTATTCTAAGGGACAGAGTTTAGGGAACAGTATTTTAGATCAATAAAAGATACCATCTTAAAACTCCTTCATCAAAGCAGAATTATAGGTTTGAAGGAAATATTTAATGTTCCATGTATTATTCACAATTCATCACTTCTGTCTCCACAGGAAGTAGAATAAAGACAAAATTATCATGAGCCTTCTTCTTCTGCACCCACTGGATCATTTTGAAAGGGTAGGGAAATATCTGTTTATAGTTACTGATACCCTCTGTAGAATTTGGTTGGTATACTTCATTTAAAATTTTCTTAATTTTTCTTCATAATCTCTTAGTTTCCTCTTCCTTTCCTGTTCTTTCCTTTCTAAATGTGTGTATAGAAAAGTAGCAGGGACCCCCGAAATGCATCTTAAAGGCTTCTTCTGACAACAGATCTTTATGCTTGATTAATCTCTAGAAGTGTTCAGAAAACATTAATACATATCTAACAAAAAAGGTGACTATGATGTTTCTACAAGGAAAACATCAATGAATATCGTCTTAAGAGTTCATGCAGTGCCAGGATGATTCTGCAGAAATAACTCAATTTGTCTTCTGTTTTACTAAACCACAAATATCATCATAAAAGATTATTTTTACACGGGGAGAAAAGTACTATGGGAATTAAATGGCAGTAGGAAGCCTGCTAACACTACAGTGTGGATTGTCACAAGACTTGGACCTAGAGGCAGCTCTACCATTAGCAGTGTGACTTTGGAACATTTCTCAATGTTTCAAGATGTCAGGTACCCCATTTGTAAATGAGGGGAAGTAACAGTTTTAGTGGCTTTCAAACTGTTGGCCTCAGATGCTGCAATGGCAATGGATTTTGAAGAGTAAGGGAGGGTGGCAGGGGACCAAGTAAGTTGACTCACTTCCATCTTCCAACAGAGCAGCTCCACTTTTACATGTTTTATATACTAAAGTTTTGAGCAATATTTATTTTTTAAAAGATCCTGCTTAATTTTAAAAATAGAGAATATCATTGATTGCATAATCTAAAGGTTGGTTTAGATATAACATACTCTAGTTCACATTATTAATGAATATGTTTCCATCTCACTTCTTTCAACACACTTTTCCCCATTCATTCATGTGCTCTTAATTCAAGTAAAATAAAACTTTAATGACTTTTATAATTTTTATATAGCTTATTTTACACTTTTGCAATATCTTTCTTATAAACAGGTGAGTTGATGTGTTGCTTTTCAAAATAAAATAAAAAACAGCATGAAAATTTGATGAAGCCAACTCCTGCCCATGCTTAATTTTAGAGTTATTTCTTCATGCTGCCTTTGGGCACTTAAATACTGTACTGCATTATGTTTGAGGTAGAATAACAACAACAAAAAAGGCAAAAACATTCACATAAAGAGGGAAAAATGAGAAAGAAAGCTGTGAAAGATTTCTTTTTAACATGATTATCATCATTAGGCTTTGCAGTCTTCTTTGACACAAAGTTGAGAAATAGTCTTCTTAATGCGAAGGGCGGTTAGGCGGGCGGCTCCATTTGCATACCAACACTCCCGCATTATTCTCCCCATGACCCGGAGTGCCTTTAAGAGACAAAAATAACAAAGACTTGACTCACACAAACACAGTACAGAGAAGCAAAACCACAAAGCCAGAAATTGATGTTAAGCTCTGAGGAAGAAATAGTAAATTTAGAACAATATGCGAAAAACATTAGGGCCAAACCCCTTCAAAAATCCAGTCAAAATACACACATCTACTTAAAGAGGCTAATTTTTTATTGAAAGTTCAATCCATTGATTTCTGGGAATATAGTAAAATGGCTATCATTTAAAATATTCTAAGAAGGGACATGAAAGACAAAAAAGAAAATGGGATGGGTTGGAATTTCATCATATATTGATCTGGATGGTAAGTACATACATGTATATATATTTTTTAAATTCATCAAATTGTATACCAAGATTTGTGCATTTTACCATATGCAAATTATGTCACAATAAAATAGTGAATTAAATATAAATTTCAAAAATTCAGAATTAAGAAAATCAGTATAAGTGAACTGGTAAATAAATAAGGTAAATACTCAGAGGGGAAGACAATGAGAATGCATGAATCCAGAAAGATATAAGAAATCACTAAAGAAGTGGCTGCTCTGGTGGCATCTGCTGATCTCACAGTCTAGAATTTCAGAGTTGATGGACCACATGTGAAAGATAGGAAGTACAGCCTGAAGCACACAGAAGGTGTCAGATCAAGATGTTTGCAAAGTTCTGAGTGTAAGGATTAATCAGCCTTAGTAGAAATTTGCAAAGAAAATTGTCTAAATCTTAGTTCTTGGTAAAAGAAAAAAAAAAATCAAGCCCAAGTCTTAAAATGTTGCAGTAAGCCTGAGCTCATAATGAAAATTCACAAGCACATAAGGAAGTAAAGTATCATAAGCAAGAGTCAACTGAAACAACAAACAGTAAAATCAGACCCATCAAAACATGAGAGGCTAAAACTAAATGATGTAAAATATAAAATAAATATATAAAATACATTTTTAAAAAACAAAGAGGAAATTCAAACTATAAGTAAAAAACAAGTGTGTATTTTTAAAAGAAAAGTACCAATAAAATTTCTTGGCATAAAAAAATCATTAAAATAAAAAATTAAATGGATGAGTTAAATGGAAGATTTGCTACATCAGAAAACAGAATTAATCAACTGGAAGATAAATGTGAAAGATGCTGCATAAAAACACAAATATGGAAAATTGGGAAGAATAAGAAACAAGCAAAGTAAAATGAAAGGTCTAACATGCACTCAGCGAGTTCTCTGAAAATGGGCAATAGAGAAAATGAAAGGAGAAACTATTTGAAGAGATATGGTCAGAATTTTCCAGAATTAAGGAAAGTCGCAAATCCTTAGAATTGGAAAGTCCAAAAATTCCAAGCAAGATTAATCAAATGCATCATAGAGAAACTACAGAATACTAAGACATAGAAAAGTTCTGAAAATAGTCAAGAAGAAAATACACATTAATTTTTTAGTAGTTACAAAAAGATCAATTAACTTTTTGGTAGAAACAAAAATGAGTTGACATCTCAATAGCAATGATGGAAGCCAGAAGACAGTGGAATAATGCCTTTAATAACTGTGAACCTCAATTTTTATGCCTAGGTAAACTATTTGTTCAAGATTGAGGACAAAAAAGACAATTTCAGATACCCAAACACTGAAAGAACTTACAACCACTAGATGCTCACTAAAAAAAAATTTAAATAAAATACAGTTAAAGGATGCACATCACAGTCAGAAAATGATCTTAGAAGGAAGCTCTAAGAGCCAAGAAGGAATGTTGAACAAAAAAAAAATTACAAATATATTCATACGCAATGTGATCAAACTATACAGCGAATGTTTAAATAAAAAAATTATTACAGTAAAAGATAGACTGCCATTAATCCTCCTCAAAATACTTTGCCCTCACCTCTAACACATCGATCTGAACACACTTTCTGAAGCAGTTCTGGAGGTCCTCTTTTGTGAATGTCTTTAGTTGTGCTGTCCTGGCTGCCTCAATGTCCTGAATCAATTTGACTTTGGGGAAGAGCCAGAAGTCGCATGGTGCCAGATCCAGTGTAAAAGGTGGATGAGGACACATTATAATGTTTCTATTTGACAGAAACTGCCATATACTAGAAGCGATGTGTGACACAGAGCATTCTCATGATGGGGGATAATTTATAGCACACTTTAAAACACACCTTTTCTCAACTGTAGCTCACACCCAACTGGCTGCACTGAACAAGTTGAAACTTGTCACACACTGTTACTAAGGTTCCATGTATCACCTCCCGTATTGAAGATCTCTGCCTTTCTGTTGGATGGCACTTGGCAACAGCATTCACCATATTTTGTGATCATAACGGAAAGGCTCCGTGTCACACATCGCTTCTGGTACAGCAATTTCTGTCAAATAAAAACATTACGGTGTGTCCTCGTCCACCTTATCTGGCACCATGCAACTTCTGGCTCTTCTCCAAAGTCAAAATGACCATGAAAGGTAAACATTTTGAATCCATTCAGGACATGGAGGCAGCCATGACAACACAACTAAAGACACTCATGAAAGACGACTTCCAGAACTGCCTCAGAAAGCGGCAAGGATGGGATAACTGTGTTCTAAGCGAGGGGGAGGATATTGAGGGGGATTAATGACAATGTGTCTTTTACTGTAATAAATTGTTTTTAATTTAAACACTCACTGTATCTTGTGATCACACCTAGTATGTGTGTGTGTGTGTGTGTATATGTATCAGCATTATTTTTTAAAAAATAAAAATCACAGATATGACAATAAACAGTACTATGGAAAAAGAAATTGTGCTACGTCCATACAATGGAATACTACACAGATATGAAAATGAACAGATTCTAGGTATGCACATATAAGACAAAGTAAAAACAATTTAAGAATATCTAGAGTGAGTTTCAATATAAGTTTTACAAATACAGAAAAGCAAGCAATACATTTTTCAATACGTATGGCAAAATTCTAAAGAAAAGCAAGATGATAATAAATAATTGTAATAGTAACCTCTGAGAGAGGAAAGGAATATTCAAAGTCACAGGAAATGTTCCATTTTTTAAACTTGGTAGTGAATTCACTGCTTTTCATTTTATTATTGTACTTTAAACTTTTCATTTGTCATTTATTCCTTTACATGCATGAAACTGTCAATATTAGAAAAAAATTAATTTAATTTCAACTTGGTTGTAAATGCCTCAAATTCTGCATACTTCAAAATAAGTATGTAGGTGCACGAAATAGAGATGCTGAGACATAAATCTTGCCTTAAATAGAAACAGAGTTGAGTGAAATATAAAGAAGAGGAAAAGATAAGGGGGGAGAAGCAACTGTATAAAATAATCTCTATGACAAAGCCAAAACTTAAAAAAGGCCTCAAGAATTACATTCAAATATGGCAGAAGATACACAGTAATAACAAGGACTGAGGAGATTATAGCATTAAAATAGTTCTGTAATTCGTTAGATGGTTTATAGTCTTTCCCCCACCTTGTCTCCTTTCTACCTGTGGGAGCTAAAAAAGTCTCTACCTTCCTGTAAGGCAGAACAAGCATTGCTAACCATTTATTGTGTGTCTACTATATGATGGTTACTACATGCGTTGTTGGGTTGAGGACATAAACAACAAAGGTACCTGCCAGAAAAGGAAGCTTTTCTGATGAGAGAGAATAAACTCAAACTTTAGCAGGGTTTGGGATTAGGAATAATTTATGGAATAGAAGGATGGTTGAAATTGTAATACTCTATGTGGAATAGATATTGAATACCCACCGACTATGCCTGTTCTCCCCACAGTTCCCAGCCTCTGCAAGTTAAATGGGACAATGTGACTTGTTCTAATCTATGAACGATGAATGAAAAAAATATGATTCACTTGGAGCCAAAGCATTAAAGACCCAGTGTGTGACCCTCCAGTTCCTCTCTTCTCCTCACCTAGACACCTAAAAACTACATCCTGAGATAGCAGCACATAGTCCCCACATTTAGGGGACTTTGCATAGCAAGAAATAAAATTCTATTGTGTAAAGTCATTGGGATGTCAGGGATTGTTACTGCCACATAATTCAGCATTATGGATACATACAGCTAAAGGGAATAAAATCAAATATATATATACCTACATATATGGAATGAATTGGCTGTCTAGATTAAGAGAAAAGAATGATATGGTCTCTGAAAATCTTTCCTGATAGGAAAAAAATACATAAGAACATAGCCTTACTTCACAGCTTTGCCACTGGTTTGGGATACTTGGTCGAAACTTCTGGTCACAAACAACTTTTCTCATTTCCTCTATTGAGGGATCTGAAGGCACCATGTCATAATAAGGCAACTGGTACTCCTCAACAGTTCCTATAAGAAATTTGCATTATAAATTTTCCATGTGAATAACAAAGATGCTTCTTTCAAAATAACACCAATCAGGCACAAGTGGAACCATGGAAAACTGTAAAGTCACATTTATTAAAATTATGTATCACTATAAAACCAGGATACACATCTAATGCACTCAGTTGAATAGTTATTATATAAGTTTATAAAATTTTATATAATGAAAGTTTATATAATACTGATAATTACATAAATGTTATATAAAATAAAATTATATGTAATTATTTTATACAACATATTATATGACTATATTTATACATAATTTATATATATTACATTTATATAATTTTAATAATTACATAAAACATAATTTATATTATGAAAATTATATAAATTTTGATTTACATATAATGCCACCATGGAACTCCAAAGTAATACCTCATTGCAAAATGTATTGCTCTGTGAATGAAGTATATTTCTCCATTAAATAACCTTTCAAAACAAAATAGCTTTCTCTTTTTTAAAATTGTTAGGTAATCTTTCAAAAGCTGAGAGTCTTACATTTGGAATTTATACCTACTGTACCTGAATATGTTCCAAAGAAGCAGCCAAAAGTATTTGAAAATGGATGGTTCAACATAAAGATTAATATTTTAAAGAGTCTCAAATACATAGACAAAGAATTGACCTTATTTATCAGAATATTACTTGAATTCAAGAATTTCCTTATAAAAATCATTTGAATTAACTACAGTCCTTTTAATTTACAATATTTAAGATGTGCCATAATTTTAGAATATTAACTTCAAATCATGTTAACTAAATTTATATTTAATAGTTGAAGAAAATTTGACAAAATCCTAAAAGTAAATCTAGACAAATATCAATATAAAATTTTAAAAATAGTAACAAATATGTTTGAATCTTGCTATTTACCAAAACTGTCCTAAGCCGGTCCTTCACATGTTTTAACTAGTCATTCCTCAAAACCACTGACTAAAAAAGGTACTATATTATCCTTATTTTACAAAATGAGGAAACTGAGACACAAAAAAGTGTTGTGAATTTGCTCATCACACAGCTAGTAAGTGTCAGATCTGGAACTGAATCCCAGGCTCAGGGATCCCAGCATCCATGTTCTACATCACTATATTTCTACTGCTTTTATGAATAGTTTTATCTTCCTGAATGCTTTATTATCTCATCTATGAATAAAAGGGAAACAGTCTGTTTTCTCATTCAAATATAATTTTAACCTTGTAAGTTTTTCATTTAAAAAAAAATGAGACTGATGTAAGGCAAAATGACATCAACGCAAAATACAAAAACTGACAGTGGTTTAATAATGACAGCTCTCTCATTGAATGTTTACTATGAGCATGCTGTACTAAAAGCTTCACATGAACTCATTGAGTTAATTCATTAAATCCTCAAAAACTAAGGGGTCAGTTTTATTATTTTTTCATTTTACCAATGAGGAAAGTGATACCAAGTAACTTGCCTAAAGTCAGAGGTTCAGGAAGTCGCTATACCAAGGCTTAGCACTAGATTCGTCTCACTTGAAGGAGAAAATTTTAAATCATTTTCTCCCAGTGTTTAACCTTTCTCCACTGACACAACAGGTCCACCAGACTGTATGTGTAGGATTTCATCCTCTCAAAATCTTCCTGTCACTATTAATTTCCAAGCTGCCGGGAGCAGTAGATTGAGAAACTTAGTTCACCTCCGCTCTCCACTTTGTCTGTCCCTCACACATTCCTCATCATCACAGGAAAGAAAACAAGAAAAGCCTGAGAACCAGAAGACTTCAGTTCCAGTCCTGTGGCCTTGGCAAGTCATTTACCTTCTTTGGGTTTCATTTCTGGTATAAAGTAGAGATCCAGCTAACTGCATACAAACTCAAAATTTTCAAGTGCTTTGCAAACTATCATTATGGAAATCAGAATTATCAGAACTGTCACTCCCACCTAAGCAGTAATCTTAATATAAAATCTCCATTATATGCAGGACGCTCCATTTTTGCCACTGAAAAGATATAACCAAAAGGTATTCTTTTAAATATTAAGAAATAATTCAATATAGTGCTTGGGGGAAAAAGATAGAATATCATATATCATATTCAGAGTATCAAGGAAAGGCAGACACAAAGAATATGTCAAAAATCTTACCTCCAACTGAACACCTTCGGGCTATTTCCCAGTACACCAGACCAACAGAATAGATGTCAGCTCGTTTGAAAGACTCAAAGATATTCACATTCATTGTATCATCAAGCATTTCAGGGGCCATGTACCTTCAAAAACATGCACATTTCAGATGCTATGGATGACTTTATAGCACTCCAGTAAAACGCAATCTTAAATCCTGATATAAAATATAATTTATGATAACTTACATTAACTTTACTGTTAGATCTGAGAAACTAATAGAGTAAAATTAAGTAATACAGTTATGGCTCAACCATAATTTAAAAACATTTTAAATAGAACCAGAGGTCATCCTCCTCTGTGTGAAAGCATGTGTGCCAGGAGCCAAATACTTGAAAAGTATAGCCGGAGGAGATTCAGTAAGCAAAACACTCAATAGGAGAAATGGAACTCAATTTCCACCAGTAGTTGATTGCCAAGGAAAGCACTTGGAGGGCAAAGAGTATGTTTTATTCATCAAGGTGGGCCCAGTACTCCAACACATTACTCAGTAGCATTCCACGAATACCTGTTCTGAATAAACAATTTTATTATGCATTGGCTCCAAGAAAATCACAGCTTTGTTTGAAAGGACTAAATCAAAGAAAATTACAGTCCATGGGACCTGACTGAGCCTTGTTGTCGTAGGGAGAATTTGAAGATTTCCTCAGAATACTGAGGTGAGGATGCAACACTCTCCCAAACTCTTGTAAAAGTTTCAGACCCTCTAAGGGAATCTGGCACCCAAGGCTCCCCTGACCGTCCTAAGGTGGGGATAGTCAGATGGGTAAGTTACACCTTGCTTTTTATAGGGAAAAGAAAAGAGGTCCCTTAGGGCTGCCCAGTCTGAATAAACTGTCACTTCAGGACAGTTAATTCTCAGGCCTCATTAAAGTCTCCCAGGGAACCAAGTGAAGGACTCAGAGGGACTGGCCTGGGCTCTCAAATACGGCGTGGGGGCCAACTATCCCAACTTAGAAATTCTCTACTCTCAAGAGCCTTTAACTACTCCAGGAAATGCCTTGGTTGTTTCTGATTTCGAAGTCAAGAAATGTGGAATCATGCCAAAGTGGCACAGAGCCTGAAATTCAGATAAAGGGCAATGGAAGTATGCTGGTCCTACGGCCACGGGCTGGCCATAACAAGAAAACACCAGAAATCCCATTACTCATGGGTCTGTCCTGACATGTGCGGTATGCTATGCTTCTATCATGCTTGTTCTTAACTTTCAGAAAGTCTGTTCCTTAAAAGTGGGAATTGTGTCCAAACTCATAGTACCTTACTACACATCAATGTGGGAGACTTAAAGATAAATACAGCAATAGGTAAAAACATAAATTGTTACATAATATTCTTAAATATTAATAGACTATTATACACATACATGTATGTATTATATAGAGTCCCTCACCTATCTAGTCCACTATATTGATTCTGTATCTGTTGCTTAGAAGCTGAACATATAGAACTAGCCTTGAGTTTCAGTTCATTTACAGGGTACAAAGGCTTTGGAGAAGCTATACATGGCTGACACTCCCCCCTACACACACCCCGTAGGAAAATGTATTCTCAGCATATGGCACACTAAAAACAATATATCACCATCTCTTCCACCACTCCTCTCTATTGACCTCCCCACCCAAATGGCTACTTCTTTATGACCAATATGCCAACTCTCCTTGCTCTATAACCATTGTGCCACTGATTTCTCAGTGACCCAGAGAAGACTTCTTGCTTTCTTGGGCCTAATGATTTCTCTTTTGGACCTGCTGTCCCCTGCCCCATACCCACATTGCAGGCACTCATGTTTATGGGGCAGTCATAAGTCTTAGTGTGCTACCAAAGTAAGTCACCTTACCTTCTGGTTCCCACTTTAGGATTCTGAGGTATGTCAATAGTGTTCAGTATTGAATCATGCTTCACAGCTAATCCTAAATCGGCTATGGCACAAGTTTCATATTTCTTCACTAAGATATTCTTTGATTTTATATCTCGATGAGCAATAGCAGGTTTACCTACGAAGCATAAGAAGAGCATATTCACTTTTTCATTCCCGAAGTTTGAATCTCTCCAAAAGGAATCATTCTGAGGAGTTGGTTCAAATGGCACCTCTTAAGAGAGGTCTTCCCTGACCACCCATTCCACACCCCTAGTCTTTCTCCATCGGAGTATCCCATGTTGCCTTCTTCATAGGTCTTATCAATATCTAAATTATCTTGTTCATTTCCATGCATGTTTAATTATCTCTCTCTCTCCCCTAGACTGCAAACTGCATTAGGGCAGAGTCTGTGTATTACTCATTACCATGCCTCCACTACTTAGATCATTAGGTATCTAACATTTAGTAGCCACTAATATATGTTTGTTCAATGAATAGGGACAGAATTAGCATTGCTGTGTACACATAAAAACATAGCAAATATTCTCTTACAAAACAAGTTTCAAACGTCTACTACCCTAGACCAACAGTTCTCAAATGTGGCCTAAAGATCCCTGAGGGCCCTTGAGACTGTTTCACAACTATAAATCTATGTGATGTCACCTTTTCTTAACATACTTCAACCAAAACAACATATTGGAAGAGATTGAATGAAGAGCAGTATAAAAATCAATACATTAAACCAGACATTAAAGAGATTTGCAAAAATATAAAACAAAACTATAATTTTTACTAGATTGGTTTGTATTATAAAAATTATATAAAATTTTTAAAAATATGTTATTTATATTAGTATTTAATTAATTAGTTATTTTAAGTAAATTAAGTATTTTTAAATTTCTCAATTTTATTTTCTGATATAGTAAATAGATATAACTCACATAAACAAAAACTTTTGGGGTCCTAAAAATTTTAAGAGTTTAAAGGAATTATGAATCTCAATTTGAGATCCACTCCTCTGACTAGATTAATGACTTCCTACAGCCAGTTCTTTATTAACTCAATAAGTAGAAAAGACAATAGGGGTCACTAGGATTGGCCACAGGCAGGGACAAGGTCCCTAAATCGATTTATGGAAAATAATCCCAAAATGGCTATGACCAGTGGGTTACCTGGTCAGAATTCCCTAGAAAGCTTACTAAGATACAAACTCTCAGGCCACAGGCGATCCAGTGCATCAAAGTGTCAGGGTGGGCCTGGAAATCTGAATTGTTAACATTCCACTTCACCAAGAAATTCTTCACTCACAGGGAAAAAGACAGGTCCACAAGTCATTGTGGCAAAGGTAGGCTCTGATGCTTCACAGAACACAAGCAGGAAATGGACCCATGGTTTTTATCAAGTTCTCAAAACCACCAAAAATATTAAGAGCCACTACTTTAGGGCTTTGGTGAAAAGTAAGTTAAGAAAAGATATCTAGTACCACAGTCTGGCCTGAGCTTCCCAGTGGAGCATAGCAATATGACATGGATGAAAGGATTGAGGGATTCCAAAGGGGTGAACCACTTATTTGACTTCAAGACAGGTTTTGAGATCAGGAGAGAAAATGAAGAAGCTTCTTCAAAGCAGAAAAAAATGGAACTCTGCATCCATTTATTGTTCCTTTAGAGGGGAATGCTGTCCATGGTTCTATTTTACAAAACAAGACTAAAAATGTTTAGAAAATCAATGTGGAAATCCCCAGATGTAGCAAAGTTTATAGATCATCATAATCACTCTGTGGAGGTAGAACCCAGAGAACTCCACCCTGGAGGAACCTGTCAACATTAGATCTACTGAGTACCAGAGGTTCACTCAGGAGCAGAACCTCACAAGTGCCCTGGCTGTGGGAAAAGCCTCCTTGGTTCATACCTTTAGAGACGCCAATGTTTCCACACACGGGAGAGGCCCTATGAATGCACTACATTTTATGGGAAGCAATTTGACAGTGTGTTTTAAGAATCTTAAAATGTTTCTCCTCTGGATCAAGCAGTTCCACCTCTGAGAAACTATTCTGAGGGGAGAAACCAAAGCAAAACAAAATAGCTAATAAAAGTCTTCACATACACACATACACACACACACACACACACACACACACACACACACACACACACACACACACACAACTAACCTTCAAAGATTCCCAACTGACCTGATAATAAAGCACAAATTCCTCAACAAGGCTGTAAAGGTCTTCATGATATAGACCTCGAGCTGTTGGCAACAAGGACTGCAGTTGACCACTGCCCCACCCAAGGTCAGAATCACTTGCTCCTAGGCCACCAGGTGCTTTGTTTAGACCTCATTTTTAGCACTTAACATAGCTCACTTTAGTTAGAAGAGTTAGTTGCAATCATACTACAAAATGGATCCTCTTCTGCCCTTCCAATACACGTACATCAACATCACACACGACAGGGTAGAGAACATCTATTATTCATATCTTTATCCCTTAAAGTGCCCTGTACATGCTAAACGTTAACACGTTTGTAGCATTGAATCAAAAAAGATGTAAAATAGCTCTTGGAAACTAAGAACATAGAACATTGCAATGGATATGCCTAGTTATACTTCTGAGAATTTTGAAAAGATAAGTGCAAAAATCAGTGCCTCCCTCATAAGTATTATCAGGTATAAGTGAAATATATTTTAATGTAGGCTTCGTACAATATATAAACTTTCAATAAATATAAAAAAAGAGTATTATTTGGCCTTGAAGTACATGATATATAAATACATTTTCAAGATGTGGAGTATAGTGTGGGAGTGGAGTCAATGGAATTGTAATAATATGTATGATATCGGGGGTGGGGAGTGGGGCGACAGATTGGAGGGGGTTGTCATTTTGAGGGGCAAAAAGTATAACTATTACACTGTGTTGTACACCGGAAATTAATTTTAAAAAATAAATAAATAAAAATAAAAATAATTTTAAAAGATTACATCACCCTTTCCAATTTTTTAAATTATCAAATGTAAATATTTAAATTATTTGCATTCTCTGAATATAGAGCATTTGCCACCAGTGCAAGATCTCTCAGGTATATATGCTAAATGGCCAAGATGGAGCCACCAGGAATAAAAATAGTATTATGAATAGTACACAAAATGACAAGTATGTAGATGAGAACTGACAGTATCATGACAAAATCTTCAGCTTTATAAAATGCCTTTAGTGTTTCTTTACATTTGAGAATTGTAATAAACTAGAATATGACTAAACACTAACATACAACTTAATGTTTCTACCCTCATGTTTAAGTAGAAAAAAGTTAGAAAGAAAATACATACCTTGTGTACCCACAATCTCCATATGAAGGTGAGCCAGGCCACTAGCTATTGAAAGCGCCAGTTTGATCATTCCAGCCACTGTCACTACGTTTCTATTCAAATAGTCATATAAGGAGCCCTGTTCATGATATTCCGAGACAAGCCAAAGTTGAGTCCAAGTTCCATTATCTAACAGGAAAAAAAAAGTATTGCTGTGAATATATGATGGGAAAGGAGCCAACAGCTTTTAACAAATGTCAGGGTTTAAGGTAAATCTGTATTGTTTACAAAGCAAAGTTAACTCCTGCAGTGATCATGCTTTCAGTCCAAGTTATTAAAGTAAAAACCGTCAGTGAATTCCTGAAGATACTGATATACTAGGACCTGTTATATGGACCCACCATGGCTTAAAAGAAGCTGTGAGGCAGTGATTCTAACCAAACAACTCCTTTCTTATTCCCTCTATATCTATACCTGCTGGTAACAGCAACCACATTACAGGAGAAACTACTGAAAGATGCATTTAGGCTCAGTGTTGCGTTATAAATTACTCTTGTGCTTTTAAGAAAGACTGTATCAATAAAAAACAGAAATATAACAAATTTATGCAAAGTATTCTTACCATTACAAAAGCTCTAACATTCTAAGAATGTTCATGTTATTTACTTTTCAACATATGAAGCCGATGATTTTGCCCAAAAGCTTATATTAAGAGCCAAAGATAATTACTAGGCACTTTCAAATAATTTACCTCATTTAACCAAAAGCTAATCAAGCTGATAAAAGGTTTTTAGCTTAAAATTTCTCTAGGTATGAGTCCCTAGAGTTAGCTTTTGTTTTTAGAATGAAGTGTCTATAATAGCCCTGGGCAGTCCTGACCAGCTCTAATGCTCAGAGAAAGGAACCTATAATGAACATTTGCTAAGGACTTTTTCTACCTAGTGTTTTATGTACAAAAGCTCCTTGTTACCCAAATATTTAATTTCCAAATCCGGGTAGTGATAAAAATTTCCTAGGAATGCAAAATTCAACATAACATGATAAAATTCACTAATAAACTGACCAAATATAAAACTAACCCTTATTTACACCTCTCTCCTAGCTAAACACTAGAACAGGCTATCTTTGGCCTCTCACATCAGTCTTTGTTGGACAGTTAACTAAAAAGTGAAACTGTAAGCAATGCAAAAGATCCAGAAATTCATGAAGATGAAAGTGATGTTAGAGACCATTTAGAATCAGGCACAAAGCTACTGATAAGTGAGCCATTGACACAGGTAGACCAGTTATCTGAAAAAGCGAAACTCAAGGATGATCTTTTTTGTCAAATTAGCCTCATTAAGATGATCCATATAATTACAGTCATTACTGCTTTCACAACATTGCTAATTAATCTAACCAGTAGGTAGTTTAGTTCAACATTAGGAAGGAAAAAAAGTAGTTTCTAACAGTTTCGTAAGAAATGTTTCATTTTCAAAAGGCTGGATATATTTTCAAAAAATATACAGTTGAGAATTGGGAAGAATCTTTTTTTTTGTAAGCTTATCTTGGCTATGCTCAGTTTCTCCCTACCAAATTAGATAAGACAAATCATTAGCAAATGTAATTATGGCCAAAATGTACAATAACATTAAGCTTCTCTTTTGCCATCTAATTAATAATGAACAGTTTTGAGATTATATTAGATAAAAATAACCATAGATTTTTAACTTTCATAGGTAATGGTGGATGCCTGATATCCACAGGTAATTTGTTAGCTAGAGGTTACAATCTCTACCTCTCCAATTTTTTTTGTATTACTAATCAAATTAAAAACAAAAACTGACTGGAATTTTGCTCACCTTTGTTTCCTGTCTCTCTCTAAGGGAACTTATGCACAATTAATTGAGTAAAAGCCAAGCAAAAAGAGAAAAGAGAGCATAGGTAATCCACAAACTTTATATCCAGTCCTTGATTACTCAGGGATATATAGAATATTTTATGAATATTGACTTAAATACCAGAAAGTTGGTGCTCTCTCATGTTCCACAAAACTCAAAAAGTAATGTTCTTTGGGGCTGTTAAACCTCAAGATACAAATCATACTCAAAGTACATTAATAGAACATGTCACCAAAATTGTCTTGCTTGCTGCCATTCCAGTAATGTTCACAGAAAGCTTGAGTCCTAGAATCGAAGCCTGTTGTACAGATGAAAAGTATAGTCCTACCAAAGATGAATATTCAGCTAGCATTCATTGGCATGTCGGTACCAGTTATTAAACTATGGAAATATTTCTGTCTTGATTAGTTCACAGCTGCTATTGAAAACTCCCAGCAACATTACTTTGCCTACACACCCAAAGCAACACCCCCACCAAGATGGCCCCAGATCTCTTCGTGACCCAGCAACTAAAGAGAAAACCCAGCATGCAGGGTCCTCCCAGGACTCTGTTCAAGTTGAAGTTTTTGTTCTAATTGGGTGGTTCCTGCACCATACCAGTCATCAGATATTTTAAATATCAACCTGGCTATAGTGTCATCATGATTTCATATCACACATTTGCCCTGCTTTATTATATAGTTATGAAAATTTGTCTGTGGAAAAGAGGAAAGCATTTTCTTTCCTCAATAAAGAAATGACACTTTTACTTAGATTTTATTAAAACAATGAGATGGTTTATTCTCATCTGATAAGAGACAACATTTTATTTGCTGAAACCATATAAATTGAAAATACCTTTGTTGTCAGCAGCAATGAAACCAAGGATGTTTTCATGTCTCAGCATAACCGTCTGATAAATTTCTGCCTCTCGAAACCAAGATCTTTCATCTCTGGAGGAGAATATTTTCACAGCCACATCCTCCCCACACCATCTTCCATGCCAGACCTCACCAAATCTACCTTTTCCTACTATCTCCTGAAGTACAATCGTCCTGGCAATTGTTCTTTGAACCAACAGAGGTAGACCTAACCAAAGAAAAGATGGAATTGATGATTAAAAGCAAGTAAGTGCCAGAAAAGAACTGTCAGAATAACCATTATTTTCACATAAAAAAGCAAACATTTAAGTACTTCAATAATTTTACCGATTTTGAAAAACTAAGCACTTTTATATCAAACTTTAATTTAATGTCAAAGCATACTCAAAAAATATTCCAAATTCTTAATGTGAATTTCTCTTCCCATATTCACAAATACAACATTCATATGTTCAAATTTATTGAACATAGCCTGCTGCTGTAGATATTTGATTTTCCAGAATTGCTGCAAATCTTCCTGATTTGTGCATTAAAGCCAGTCAGGTTACTAAATATACAAAGGTTTTAAAAAAATAGGATGTTAGCCTCTAATATAAAATATATGGTCCCTAGTACAACTGGGAAGCAGAAGAATTCTTGGAGAAGTAAAACAAAAACTAAAATTGGAAAGTGAAGATTCAAATTCAACAATTAAGTGAGGTAATCATGTTACACTAAAAGCAAGGTACAGTCATAGACAATATCCAATGGATATTTTCTGTGGAATGCAAAAAGTCAATGAAAATATATTCTGAGTGTATGTAAAATGTTTAGATTCTTTGAACCAATAACTCACCCCTAGAATTCTACACTAATGATTTAATGCAAAATGCAAAAAAAGTCAAAATATTTAAGATATTATTATTACTTATAGAAAAAATAACACGATAATAGAGAAATTGTTAAATATAGTGCAGAGATTAAGAGCACAGATAAGAAAGGCTTCAGTTCAAATTTTAGCTGTGCTATGTGGAAACCATAGGCAAATTAATGAATTTCTCTGAGCTTTGGCTTCCTTGTCTGAAAAACAGGGTATAATATTACTTATCATAGGGATACTATGAGAATTAATAAGCATGTTAAGAACTTAGCCCAGTATCGGGCATATTACATGCTCAATAATGGTTAGTCCTTTATATTGTGTCTTAGGATGAATTACTTAGAGTAAATAATAATGATACTGCTTATGAAGAGGTGTCTTAATAACATGAGAAAATACTTTTACCATCATGTTAAATAGGAATAGCACTGTAAATTCTATCCATCTAAATAAGTGTATCCTAGCTATTCAAAATATGCACAGGAAAAAGACTGAAAAGGAAACATGCTAAATGCTATGATGGTTATTTCTATTGAGTGGATTCGAGATGAACTGAGACATGCTTCTTTCTAATTTTGTACATTTTTTTAATTTCCACAATGGGTATTTATTACTCTTACAATTAGAGGAAAATAGTTAAAGGGGTTACAGTATGATTTATTCTGCAAAGCCATGTTTAGTTGCTGTCATTGCACTCAGATGGCTGAGGAACCCTCATAGCAACAACTATAAGCTCTTGCAGGATTCTGCCTCTGCTCCTGAAATGAGCCATGGTTTATTCAGATGTTCTCATCATGAGAACCACCCACTAAGACTAAATAAGCACGGACTATAAGCTTGCTATTATGGGTCTCAACCATTAGTCACAAAGCCCCACAGCCAGAAAGTTCTTCTGAGATCATGTGGTTCAACTTTATCACTTTCAAGTTGATCAAAGACTTACCTGGGAATAAGCGGCTCGTGGGAGGCAGACCTACAACTAAAACACTGGTCTCAGTCCAAACCCTTGTTCTCTCACCATTTAATGAATATGGCTGCAGATCTCTCTTACTGGGAAGCTTTCTAGCAGCTAACTATATGGGTTATTTTGATAGGCTACAGTCAATTTTACTACTTGACCACTCACAACAAAAGTTGCACTAACAATGATTAGGCCAAATAGTAATCTCAACCTATCTCCTCTCTCCCCTGCCTTGCACGCACACACTCACAAAAACATCACCACCAACCACTACTACCAACAACAATGCAACGATATTTAGCTAGGGAACTGGATGAGCAAATGTTTTCAAACTGAAAATTGATCAGGCATGCGATCAATACCACAGACCAGAGACAAAGTAAGCCAACATTATCTAAGGCACTCAATACGGCAATTAAGTTGAGACAGTAAAACTCAATAAAAGTTGCTTCAGTATCTTTCAAAGCAGCCACCCAAATTAATCTCATTCTTGTATTATACAATAAGAAATTTTATTTGAAGATACATGGGCTTTGCTTTTCTCTGTAGGCTCATTTTACTCATTTTTTACCAGGGAAGTAGAAGCTGATGTCTGTCTGATGGAAAGGCACCTTTCAGTAATGTCAGAAGTACTATCTCATGAGAGGAAAGCAGCAGGCTATACAGTCTCTTAGAAGCCACCTGAGACACACTCCACTCTCAAAGCCAGCCCAGTAAAACATCAGTGCATTTTCCTCTCTTTCAGGAATTATATCTCTTTGAAATGTGTCCATGATCAATCAGGTCAAGGATAAGCTTCACAATTTTTGTTTCTCAACATCTGAAAGTTGACTCTCCTCTAAGGCCACTGGCAATAATAAGAGAAGCAGAGGGGAGGGAAGCAGGATGGCCTGATCCCCTCCCCAAGCTTGTGCTCTTGTGGCAACAGCCTTGTTGCAGATAGACCCATTTCTGATTATCACAGGCAGTGCCGCCGTCACTTACTTTTAGCCAGTGGTCCCTTGCCAAGCATATGCAACTTTAGGGGAACATGTCTAAAACTCCTTCAAATTGCTCATTAAAAAAATCATCCATGCTTGGGCACATTTGCAGCTTTCTTTTTAAGAGAAATCTCAGAATAATCTAAAGAGGAGAGAGTCCAGCAGTCAATAAATCCAGATTTGCATTTAAAGATGCACAAAACTACCAAAAACTTAACATTAATTTTTTTTTAATTTTATGCCTTGGCTCATGACTACTTTCTTAAACTAAATATACAGTCTCCAGTTATGAAAATCTCTATTATGTTTATTGAAAAGGAAAATCCTTGGTCATATTAAATATATTCAAGGAGTTGCTCCAAAATACACATTTCTACCTAACATCTTCAGATGAACTGTTTTGGTGGTAATTACACAGATGGTTATTTAATGACTTGAATCTCATTGAAAAGTTACATAAGGTTTCAAGGAGCTGGCACAAATCAGATCTCTCTGTGCACATATTTTGTGCCTAGAATGTTGCCAGTGCTCAAGAAATTAGGGCACACAGGGCCCCAAAATGTAATACTCAGGAAAGGAAAGAGCACTGAATCTGTACATCTTTTTTTTCTTAAGAAATAATGCTAGTCTTCTATCCAATAAATTTAACTTGGATTTCAGTTTTCTAAACTTTGCAGTTTGGAGACATTTTTCCAATATTCCTTCCTTGAAAACATGCCACCTAATCGGTGCAGTGCTGGTGTAAACATGGCAATTTTGGTCAGTAAGAGAGCAGGCAATTTTGACCCCAGAAGCAGCAAACTATCTGTGCCCTCTGGATGAATTGATTGCACCTCTCTTTTCTGGACTCTTTGGTGAGTCCACAGGTGCATCATGTTAAATATGAAATCTCACATAGATGCGAATGCCTCTCTGTCGTCTGCCCCTGTTAACCATGCCTGCCTGTGTGCTCCTAATGGCCATGAGCCGGGAGTTCCTTAAAATCTGTTTGGGGTAATCATCACCCTCTGTGATCCTTCCAAAGCAAGAGGGAATGCAGGGGCTTCTCAAGTAGCTCACCTAGGTTTGCTCTAGTTCCCATTTCTGCACCACCACATGTGGACAAGATTGCTGGACCTAACGTGTATGCATGACAGCAGGGAGTCTGCTGCCATTTTAAGAAGCTTGTTATTACAGGGGAAACTCTGCTCCGTCACCAGAAACCCAAAAAAGAACCTCAGAAGCTTTGTGCTATGAGAAGCTCATTTAGGCCAAAATGCAACCTGGTACTTTGAGCTGTTTCACCAGGTTGTTCCAGAGTTCCATTAAAAAGGAAGAGAGTTTTCATGCAACCTTAGCAGCGAAAGCCAGGAATGCTGTGCTGCTCCCTTTCATCTTTCGTTTCTATGCTCTAAAAGAAACATATCCTTGATTTTAATTTCAGGTCAGCTCCCTGGTAACTTCATTCACACATCCTAGGGGGTGTGTACCGATTCCAAAGACCTTCAATGGTCACAATCAAAGGTGCTCTACGAATACTGATTTGTATAACTAAGTATCCCCAGAACTCAGCTCCTTAAATACAGTGACTCCTTTGTGCCCATGAAACACTACCAAGAGAGCAACAATGATTATTACTAATCGTCGTGGAAGAGAGGGGAAAGAATTTATTTCTTGCTTCAGAAATCAATTCTGAAGGGATGTCAAAATGAGAATCAGAATACCTAAAGGCACACAAGCCAATTGAGAAGACTTTTTCAGCCATGACAGTTCTTTCTCTTCATCAACTCTTAAAACAAGTTTCTATACCAGAACTTAGCCTGTACCATATCAAGCATTTAAATGAGGTAATTCATAATAGTGGGGCCGTTTTTTTTTGTTAAAAATGGTTTTTATTTAGTTTTAAACAAGGTTTCTTACTGAAAAATGGACCATGGCACATACCAGATCCAGATCCAGAGGCAGTCACGTCGTAAATCATATCTTTTAGAGTTTTTCCAGCATTGACCAGGTTGCACTCAGAGAGGGGCTCCTCCACATTCTGTCTCTTTTTCTTCCTGTACGTGCACTGTCGACCTTGGCACGCCCATATGGTCAGCACTGCAGCTACGGACAGGAGGCAAACTGGCACTGTAATAACAACGGTCAGCTCCATGAGGCCAAGTTTGGGGGCACTTGTTGATGCTTCAGGTAAAAAAAAAAGAAAGAAAGGAAGGATGAAAGAACATGACCATAAATCAACCCATTTAATATATTTTAGAAATTGGAAATGACAATCACCCAAATTTCACATCTGTAATGCAGCCACACAGTGTACCCTGGGTCAGTTGGCAAAGACTCTCTGTGTAGTAAGCAAAGATGGGGAAAATGACCTGAGGTTAGGCAGCAGCTAGGAATGGTTACGCCAGGTGACAATGGAAGGAAGGCTCATGGAAAGCACTAGAGGATCCTTTTTAAAACCTCCAAGCATTTGCCATTTTTCTAGTATTTTTTTAGCAGTTCATCCTTAGATCATTCATTCCCACCACAAATAATTACTGAGTTCTTGCAATATGTCACCACCATTCCAGGTGTGGAGATAACAGTGTTGAGTGAGAGAGGCCCAATCCTCGCTTATGTTCTCAGGCACCAACTAAATAGGTGGGTATGTAATGCAAAAGCAGAACGTGGTAAGTGCCATGAAGAACAATGAAGCAGAGGAAAGAGACTGGAGTGGTGGCAGGATGGCATTTTAGATAGCGTGGTCCCAGAAGGCCACTCTGGGAGCTGTCAGAGAGCAACAATGGAAGGTGTCACAGGCAACCATGTGTCTGGCTGAGGGACAGCAAGGGTAAGGGGCCCTGAGATAGAGACCTACTTGGCATGTTCAGAAACAACCTGTGCCAAGAGTGCAGTAAATGAGGAGAAAGATAGAAGGAAATGAGGTCAGGGAGATAAAAAAAGAGAAAGATCATATGGGGTCTTGTAAGCTAAAAGGAGGACTGTGAATGTTATTCTAAGTAGAAGCTGTTACAGGGTTTTGAGCAGGCGAAAGATGTAAGTTAACTTCTCTTCGGTGTGGCTGCTGTGTGAAGACACTAGGGGCACAAGAGTAAAAACAAAGACCAATTAGAAACCAAATGTAACAATCCTGGCAGGAAACGATGGCCTTGGCTGACAGTGCTATCTAAAATAGCCCTTCCTTCTCATTCCCCATTTACTCTCTGTGTGCTTTTCCTGTCTTATTTTAAATCCTGGATCTTATCACCCCCGGGCACATCATATATTCTTTTATCTATTATCTGATTCCCTCCAAAGAACATATGCTTCATGAGGGGAAGAACTCTGCCTGCTTTGTTCCCAACTACATCCCAGGGTTTACAATGGGCGATGACCAATAAATAGCTCCTAAGTAGCAGAATCACGAGAAGTTTTACTAGTTTTGTTCTTTATAAGTAAAGGAGAAGATTTTTCGTTTTAGAAAAATGATAATTGAAACCAAATAACATAAAGATATAATTAAATTTGTTGGAAAAATATGATAATTGAAACCAAATAACACAAAGACATAATTAAATTTGTCACTCTCATTTTAAAACACATATAGCCAAAATTTTTAAAGTTCATCCTGCATTTAAGAAATCTTTTTAATTTAGAAAAAGACAGTGATACATAAAAAAACTATGATGACGGATATTTCCTGTGTACTTCAAAGTACTTATTTTGTCACTTGTTATGAGCACATAGTTCATTTTCTTTTCATTCACTATAGACAGCCTCAGCGTCAATTTAATTTTATCTCCAAGGTCTACCATTGGGGATGTTGATTTTTGTTTTTAATAAATGCTGGGGTGTATCTGCTAGAATATGGAAACAGAATTCTCAAACATCAAGGAGAAGTAGAAGAATGAAGGCTTTGGAGAAAGAAGAGTTACAGGTGGCTATTGAGCTTTGGGCAAACTGTACCTGCCCCCAGCACCCCCCAGGGGACTCTGCTGAGGCCTATGAGAGGTTTAGAGACAATGCATAGAAAGCAATAAACTAATACCTTCACCTTAGAATCTGGACAAGTTACAGTGATAATGAACCTTGTGAATTCAACCATTCCTCAGACTTCCTTCTATGCAACAACAATCATAGTTTACTATATTAAGTGTACTTACATTTTACCTACAATGTTTCAACCAAAATATGTGAACACAATTTGAAAACAAATATTTAATTCTAACAGAAAAAGAATCAAATTCCTCAAAACTGTGTTCATAGAAGTTTCACTGTAATCCTAAAAGTGGCCGTCTATCTACAGCCAATGGGTAAAAGATTTAAAACTGTTCAGTGAACTCTGGAAACAAACATAACCCATGCCCTTCTACTTTGCCTAGTGAGTTTTGGCAGATCACCAAATTGCCTTGTGAGTGTTGCAGGATTCCTTGGAAATCATTATAAGTTGTACAGGTGCATATGAGGTAAGCTTGACCTTGAGTATTCTTATGACAAGGTGCTAGTAGAATCATTAACCATAGTACTTACAACTTCTAAAGTTTACTTATAAATGAGTTTTATTATCCATTTCACAATAATCTTTCAAATCTGCATTTCAAGTTATGTCTACAGTTTTATGTCTTCACAAAGGTATTCTAAGAAAGCCACAGAGTATACTCAATCACTTGCAATATATATAAACATCTATTTAGAACATGTTTTTAAAAATAAGATTCCACTATTGGATACATTTATACAACTAAGTTTTATTTTGATATATGTTATTAGGAGCTATCAAAATAAACATTACACTTAAAAAGCTTATTGATTGCCTTCATTTTAGTAAAGCTCTCTTAAGCAGAGCTCAGATCATCACTATGGCAACCAATAAGGAAACAAAAGGTCAGCAACCCTGAAAATAATCTCTATAAAAGTGCACTGCTCTAGTGACGACTACTGCTCTCAGGGATATTGACTACAGATGGGCAATGTTTCTTCTCTTGTGAACAAATTTACTGATACAAATTAGTAAGAAAAAAAGATTACTCAGCTAGAAAAAGGCTAGGAACACCATCCAGAAAGAGCTCCTTAAACACTGAGCAATTTTTAAAGCAAACATTTGTAAAACTATCTTCTAAACCACATGTTGATTGTAATCTCTATAGTAGATAAATGAAGAAAAACTGTAGTCTACACCCCCATGAGTCATGATAAAAGGAGATAGTAGTGCAGTTAAGAAGACATTTTAATAAGATACCTCTGATGAGCACATGAATTTTTGTAAGAGGTTTTATGCTTTTGATCATAAGAGAGCTCTTATTATTTGATAATTTCCAATTTTTGAGATTGTCTGTTTCAACCACGATGTAGTCTCCGTGGAATAAGTAGCTTCATGGGGGGATATGTGAATCCTGAAAGTGAGGTCTGGGTAGAGCTGCATTGCCATTTCAAGTTATGTCACTCCCTAGTAAATTAAATAGAAGAGGATGCGGGTAAAAAAGAGAAAAGCCCTAGCCCAGATGGATGAGAACCTAGCTCACAAATATCTCCTCTATATAAATTCTACAATACATGAAAGCAAGACAACGCAGAGGACAGACCTACTAACAAGGCAGGGAGAAGGGTATGTTGACCTGAATGGCGTGGGAGCTTGGGTACAACTGGAGAGAGTCATGTAAAAGGAAAAGAATGTAAGAAGGTAATATGAGGGAAAAAACACAAAACCAGAAAAAGAAGGAAGGAGGGAAGGAGGGAAGAAAAGAAGGAAAGAATAATTTTTTTTTAAGTTGTCCCTGTGAATTTTGCAACTTCCTCTAGAGACCTGAGAGGAACTGGTGAGGATGAAAGTCAGTGGTAGTTGCCACTGCCCAGATAAAAAGCTGGAACCAGTTTAGACGCCTCAACTTCTCCCTGGACAGTCCCTTCCTCCCTTTACCACCTTGTTACTTCTTATTTCTGGTTTGAGGGACACAAACGCCTCAAGACAAAAAGACAAAGGTGAGAAGATGATCTCCAGGTTTCCTCCCCTTGACCTCTTTTTCTTTATTCAAAGTGTGAAAAATTACTGATATTATTTATGAGATTTACATGACCTTCTAATTACCTATTTATAATTCCTTAATATATGCCTTTAGGAGGGGTACTAAGTGGAGATATGAACTTGATAAATGACTTCAAATAACTTACATTGACCATAGGCACAAAAATTTTGTAGTGTAATATCTATATTCAACTTAAGGACACATTTCTTCACTATTTTTGAATGGCATTCAAGTGGCTATAAACTAAGACATAACAATGGAGCAAGGTATAGAAACTCTTTGAGGCTAGAGTACCTGAAGAGACATGTACAGGCTGGATGGCTGTTTAAAAACACACTCAGGTAAAGAAAAGAGAGATCTTCATCCAAACAAAATGCTTTTTTGTGAAACATTTCAAGGTTAATGCTTTCTTCCCAAAAGTTGCTGAGGCAAGCAGCTACAGAAATTTTAGAGTGTGCAAAGCACCCCTAAACAAACCACAGGCAAATTTAGCATTAAAACCACTCCTCTTCCTTTTATTAAATGTTTTTTCCAAGTGAAAAAAAAATACCATTTTTCGAGGTTGCATCTATGAATGTATAAATATCAAATCACCAACTGGTTCCCCACACCTTCAAAAAATGGAAGCATTTCTTTCTCCAGCTTGTGGCTTTGAAATGTTTTCAATTAATAAATTAACCAAAAAGAGAATGTGGCTTGAGATGTTTCTGATGGGTCTGTTTCTGTCCTGGCACCTAGAAGACATGCTACCAGGGTCAACTGAATGACCTAGTGATGTTCTGTTCATCCACCTCTCTCATAAACCTTCTATGACACAACCCTGTGATTTCAATTAAAGAGCATCTGTTCAGTTCACAAGTTTCTGGGAGGAAATGATATGTGCAGGTAAAACAGAAGAGAGAGAATACATTATCTCTAAGACATTCAAAGCGACATCATTAATTAGCTCAACAGGAATAATTTCTTTTGTCAAAATCAGAGTGACATGCTAAGCAATGAGAAATCTCCCAAATCTTTATGGTGAACTTCCTTTAACCTGCCATTTCGAAGCATCCTTAAATGGGGGTACCATCATTTCACACATTAGCTTGATGGTAATGAAAATACATTTCTAATGAGTTTCTTGTAGCTTTACTTGCTGGTACAAAGACTGGGTCCAGGTTGATTGATTTGCATAATGTT